CTCACATGGGTGACGGAACTTATGGATAAAACTCAGGTTTTTTTCGAGCTTTGTGGACTGGTTGGCGGAAGCTGAACGGCAAAGCGGCAAGCAGCTGAAAGTACTTCGAACTGACAATGGTGGGGAGTTCATCAACAAGGAGTTCAACGACTACCTGAAAGCCAAGGGAATACGACGGCAGTGTACTATTCCCCATACCCCTCAACACAACAGTGTTGCGGAACGGGTGAACAGGACACTGCTCAACAGCGTTTGAAGCATGATAGCGGACAGCAAGCTACCTCTAACCTATTGGGGAGACGCGCTGGGTATGGCTTGCTGGCTGAAAAATTGCCTACCGACAAAGGGACTTGTAGCGGACAAGACACCTCACGAAGCATTCTACAAGCGGAAACCTAACCTGAAGTTTCTTCGAGTATGGGGCTGCATGACGCAATACAGGCCCTCTGCTGGAGCTGATCACAAACTCCTGCCAAGAGCACGTTGGGGGGTGCACTTAGGGACATGCCCGGAGAGCAAAGGCTGGATTATTAAAGACGTGGAGACTGGGATCGTTCTGGCGACCAGGGATGTCACATTCTACGAAAACCTCAGCTACGTGGACTGGAAGGCAAGCAACACGGGTACAACTCCAAGGACAGCACCTGCCTCACCTCAACGAGCGGAGGAACTGCTTGAAGATGCCCAAAACGAAGGCTTAGGGACAGCGAACAACGAAGGGGAAGAAGATGAAGAAGAACATACCCAAGCTGGAGTGGATTGGGTGTGGGAGCCAGCGGAGGATAAGCTCGACAACAGTGATATGGAAGCGGCGCCTGCAACTCCACTTCTGTCAAAAACAGCGAGCGACAAAGATGGAGACATTGGAGAGGATGAAGCTGAACAAGCAGATCAGTCAAGTACCGAGGGAAAAAGTGACCCGTGGGAATTTTTCGAGACGAGCAACAATGATAAAGGAGCTGCAGAGATTGACACCTTGCTGCAGGATGGAGCCATTCTTATTGGGAGAGAGGAAGACGGCACAAGCACGGAGAAAGCAGGGGAGATGGCAGCAGACACGGGTGCGAGTGATGCTTCGGTGAAAGAAGAGGAGCTGGGCAGGGGGAAGCGGACGAAGAAACCGAATCTAAAATACCAACAGGTCCTGATGACATGCTGGAAAGACGTGCACACTCACCTCCTCCTCACCTCAACGGTGACAGCGTTGATTACCAAGGACAGGAGAAAGACTTACAATCTGCCGCATGAACCCTTGAGCATTGAGGAAGCACTCTCTGGACCATACAAGGAGCAATGGAATGCAGCTATACAAGAAGAGTTGGACACTCTTGCGGAAAGAGGCACTTGGAAACTCGTCCAAATGCCCAAAGGGAGGCATGCCGTTGGCGTCAAGTGGATTTTCAAGATAAAAACAGGGGATAAGGGGCAGCTGGAGAGGTTCAAAGCACGGCTGGTGGCAAAAGGTTATACGCAAGTGGAGGGGATCGACTACACGGAGACATATGCACCAGTCAGCAAATTGACTACAGCGCGGACACTCTTCAAGATCGTTGCGGCACGCAACTACATCATGGTTCAACTTGATATCAAGAACGCTTTCCTCTACGGAGAACTTCAAGAGGACATCTACATGGATCAGCCTACAGGAATGGAGGATGGGACTGACAGGAAATGCAAACTGATGAAAGCGCTCTATGGGCTGAAACAGAGCCCTCGAGAGTGGTACAAGGCTATGGATGCACGCCTACTCGAAGGGGGATTTCAGAAAAGCCAATGCGACAGGGCGTTTTACTGGAAAGGCGAAGGAGAGGAGAAAGTCTACCTCCTTCTCTACGTCGACGACATCCTAGTGGCTGGAGCTTTGGAGGACAGAGTTGAGGAAGTGTGTACTCACCTTGCAGCCGTTTTTCAAGTGAAGCAGATCCCGAGAGCCACGTTGTTCCTTGGCATGAACCTGGAGCGAGACCGAGAAGGGAAGAAGCTGTTACTCTACCAAAAGAAGTATATTAATCGGTTGCACGAAAGGTTTGGAACACGGGACTGCACCAAGGCAGTGACCACTCCGCTCAGCAGCCTGTCAGAGAAGGAAGTCAACCCAGAAGAAGAACTCATCCAGTGGGGCAGCAAGGAGCAAGCATTGAAGGCTTACCAGTCACGGGTTGGATCGGTGATGTACCCTGTCTCTTGTACGCGGGTAGACGGTACACATGCTGCCAGCTTCTTGGGGCAGAACGTGTTGCAGCCAGAAGGCCGCAAATGGAAGGAGATGCAGCGCACAATCACCTATCTGCAGCAACGGGGAGAAGAGGGGCTACTATACGAAAGCGGAGAAGAAGCAATGGAGTTAATCGGATACGCTGATGCATCCCATGCATCAGACAAGAAGGACAGGAAGGGAGCTTTTGGATACATCTTTCTCCTAGGCGGGACAGCAATCACATGGCAAGGGAAGAAGCTGAACGACATTGCACTCTCGAGCGCGGAAGCGGAATACATGGCGTTACTCTACACATGCCAAGAAGGAGTGTGGCTAAGGCGATTGCTACAAGAAATGGGAGTACGTGTGCAAGGTCCAACAACCATCAGATCTGACAGCAAATCGGCCATAGCATTGGCGAAAAACGACAACTGGCACGGGCGGACCAAGCACATGGACATTAAATATCATTGGGTGCGTGAACAGCTAGAGAAAAAGGCATTTACCTTTGAGTTCGTACGGACAGAAGATCAAGCAGCCGATTTCCTTACTAAGGTCCTTCCGAAGGCTAATTTCGAGCGCTGCAAGTACCTTGTCGGGATGCGTACCCTGCAGGACTTACAGGGGAGCAGGGTGGAGGAACACTGATTAAGATTTTCAGATCTAAGGTTGGCAGCAGCAAACCACAGGGGAGATTGTTAGAAGTGGTTCGCCGCTGCACCGACTCTAGAGCATGAAAACGACAGAACAGGACACTTGGAAATTGCCTTACCTATGGCGTTGGGAGAGAATAGGCTGGAATAACGAGTTCTGACGGTGGGAAGAGTTAGGTGAGAGATCCTGAGGAAGAGCTAGTGAAAACGAGGGTTTCAGGAGGAAGAGAAGGGAGAACGTTCTGGACCGCCAGAATTTTCCCAACCTTTCTGGAGGCGGTGTTCGGTGGAGTTGAAGAAAGTCGGTTTCACCGACGGTTCAGTTTGAATTTCCGTTTTCAATGCCGGTTACTGTTACGAAATTCGGATTCGCGACGAGGCGCGCTACGCGAGGCGCACATTGAAATTCGGATTTCAGATTGCTTAAATATCATGTTCTGTTTTCCTCATTGAATCAATTTTTCATAGTGAAACTTTCTGTTTGCAACTTGGGCTGGAAAACAACCTGATTTCTCAACTTTCAGATCCAGTTTGAAGCCCGCTACTGCTACTATTGTGACCTGCTAAGTCACGTACTCACTACGTCTAAGTCTGAGACGTTTCCCGATGGCAGCGACATCCATCCCGCTTTGATACACCTGTTGGAGCAACTCGATTCGCTGAATGGCGGCATGGGCTTATCGAACATGGATACTAACAAGGTGATGCAGCTAATTATACATCCAAAGTTGGCCCCGCTGCTGGTAGAGGGGAATGTCCGTAGCTTCCGGGATGTGGAGAGGGTGCAGAAGGAATATCTAGCTGACACGGGATGTGGATTCGAGTCAACCACATTTTATGTGGAGGGCTTTCCACCGCAAGTGATGCTTCACCGCGATCCACTGGGGGTGAGTTTGCTAACGTAGTTTCGGGTACCCGGGATGAAACTGAAGGGCATTGGCTTGACAGTATGTGCTGGCGGCATCATGCTTCACTCTCAAACTGTGTAGGGTGCTAAACGGCGTGTGTACGTGCTTTATATGATATTGCAGGCCCTGACAGATATGTTTCGGCACAAGCACAATGCGCCTGGCTTCGGAATGGGACCGAGGAGAGACAAGGACACCGAGGCTGGGCATCAGGCATATTCCACTGCACAAACTGGCACATGGTGGCAAGAAGCACAGGTGAGTGCTTTTGATAGCTATTTGCAGTTGCGAGAGATGGTGAGTGATGAGAGGGGAGGTGTAGAGATTGTGAGTGATGGGACGGGAGGTGCAGAGATTGTGAGTGCAAGGTGATGGGTAGTTTACACTCCCCTCAGATCACTCGCACCTTGCATATGTTCCAAACCTACCACTCACCATGCATGGTCCCGGCGTTCAGCTGGTGTGCCCTTTTCGAGTCAGAAATGTTTACCGCCCAGAGACATTGCCATTCCCCTCGACCCAATCTATCTATTCTTTACGTTATGTGCAGGAATTCATTGGCATGGACAAGATTGTTGCGGCGCTGATACTGTACAGTGATGTCACGCACTTGAGCAACAACGGAAGGAAGAAGGCGCACCCGGTCATGATGACACTGGGGAATATTGCATTCCCAAAACGCTGGGGGCGGCCTGGGCACTCCTTGCTGGCGCTCTTACCCATTCCACCCTCGAATATGCCGTCGCACTTGAAGGTGGAGCTCTACAACGCGTGTATTGCTAAGCTACTGAGCCACTTCTTCGCCTTAAAGACAAGTAAGTGGTGCAAATGCTGGTGTTTATCGACCTGCTATCTATTTGGTGAGTCATGCCACATAAAAGGAGTGCGGCACTAGGAAGTAATGAATATTGTTAACCTGCATGTGTTTTCACCCAGTGTCATGGCTGCCCGAAAATTGTGCAGTGGTGTCGTGCTGCTGGACTCAGAAGGCATCAAGCGATGGGTCGTTCCTTTGCTTTACGCTTGGGCTTGTGACTGTCCCAAGTCCGGGAAACTGACATGCACCAAATCTGGCCAGGGCTGCAAGAAGCCGTGCAGCCTCTGCTATGTCGACAGGGTACGTCAACATGTACACTCTGGGTGGGGATGTGCTAGGATGCGAGGTGCTGGGATGGGGATGGTGGGTGATAGTATGGTGAGTGATGGGATGGTGAGTGCTGTGATGGGAGGGTGAGTGCTGAGATGGTGAGTGATGGGATGGTTAGTGCTGGGATGGTGAGTGATGGGATGGTGAGTGATGGGACGGTGAGTGCTGGGATGGTGAGTGATGGGATGGTGAGTGCCCGGATGGTGAGTGCTGGGATGGTGAGTGATGGGATGGTGAGTGCTGGGCTGGTGAGTGATGGGATGGTTAGTGATGGGACGGTGAGTGCTGGGATGGTGAGTGTTGAGATGGTTAGTGCTGGGATGGTTAGTGATCGGATGGTTAGTGCTGGGATGGTGAGTGATGGGATGGTGAGTGATGGGACGGTGAGTGCTGGGAGGGTGAGTGCTGGGATGGTGAGTGATGGGATGGTGAGTGCCCGGATGGTGAGTGCTGGGATGGTTAGTGTTGGGATGGTGAGTGATGGGATGGTGAGTGCTGTGATGGGAGGGTGAGTGCTGAGATGGTGAGTGATGGGATGGTTAGTGCTGGGATGGTGAGTGATGGGATGGTTAGTGCTGGGATGGTGAGTGATGGGATGGTGAGTGATGGGACGGTGAGTGCTGGGATGGTGAGTGTTGAGATGGTTAGTGCTGGGATGGTTAGTGCTGGGATGGTGAGTGCTGGGATGGTGAGTGATGGGATGGTTAGTGCTGGGATGGTGAGTGATGGGATGGTTAGTGCTGGGATGGTGAGTGATGGGATGGTGAGTGATGGGACGGTGAGTGCTGGGATGGTGAGTGATGGGATGGTGAGTGCCCGGATGGTGAGTGCTGGGATGGTGAGTGATGGGATGGTGAGTGCTGGGATGGTGAGTGATGGGATGGTTAGTGATGGGACGGTGAGTGCTGGGATGGTGATTGTTGAGATGGTGGTGCTGGGATGGTTAGTGCTGGGATGGTGAGTGCTGGGATGCTGAGTGATGGGATGGTGAGTGCTGGGATAGTGAGTGCTGGGGTGGTTAGTGTTGGGATGGTGAGTGCTGGGATGGTGAGTGCGGTGATGGGAGGGTAAGTGCTGAGATGGTGAGTGATGGGATGGTTAGTGCTGGGATGGTGAGTGCTGGGAGGGTGAGTGCTGGGATGGTGAGTGATGGGATGGTGAGTGCTGGGATGGTGAGTGATGGGATGGTTCGTGATGGGACAGTGAGTGCTGGGGTGGATAGTGTTGGGATGGTGAGTGCTGGGATGGTGAGTGCGGTGATGGGAAGATGAGTGCTGGGATGGTGAGTGTTGAGATGGTTAGTGCTGGGATGGTTAGTGCTGGGATGGTGAGTGCTGGGATGGTGAGTGATGGGATGGTGAGTGCTGGGATAGTGAGTGATGGGTTGGTTAGTGATGGGACGGTGAGTGCTGGGGTGGTTAGTGTTGGGATGGTGAGTGCTGGGATGGTGAGTGCGGTGATGGGAGGGTGAGTGCTGAGATGGTGAGTGATGGGATGGTTAGTGCTGGGATGGTGAGCGCTGGGAGGGTGAGTGCTGGGATGGTGAGTGATGGGATGGTGAGTGATGGGATGGTGAGTGCTGGGATGGTGAGTGTTGAGATGGTTAGTGCTGGGATGGTTTGTGCTGGGATGGTGAGTGCTGGGATGGTGAGTGATGGGATGGTGAGTGCTGGGATAGTGAGTGATGGGATGGTTAGTGATGGGACGGTGAGTGCTGGGGTGGTTAGTGTTGGGATGGTGAGTGCTGGGATGGTGAGTGCGGTGATGGGAAGGTGAGTGCTGGGATGGTGAGTGTTGGGATGGTGAGTGATGGGATGGTTAGTGCTGGGATGGTGAGTGATGGGATGGTTAGTTCTGGGATGGTGAGTGATGGGATGGTGAGTGATGGGACTGTGAGTGCTGGGATGGTGAGTGATGGGATGGTGAGTGCCCGGATGGTGAGTGCTGGGATGGTGAGTGCGGTGAGGGTGAGTGCTGGGATGGTGAGTGATGGGATGGTTAGAGATGGGACGGTGAGTGCTGGGATGGTGAGTGTTGAGATGGTTAGTGCTGGGATGGTTTGTGCTGGGATGGTGAGTGCTGGGATGGTGAGTGATGGGATGGTGAGTGCTGGGATAGTGAGTGATGGAATGGTTAGTGATGGGACGGTGAGTGCTGGGGTGGTTAGTGTTGGGATGGTGAGTGCTGGGATGGTGAGTGCGGTGATGGGAGGGTGAGTGCTGAGATGGTGAGTGATGGGATGGTTAGTGCTGGGATGGTGAGTGCTGGGAGGGTGAGTGCTGGGATGGTGAGTGATGGGATGGTGAGTGCTGGGATGGTGAGTGATGGGATGGTTAGTGATGGGACAGTGAGTGCTGGGGTGGATAGTGTTGGGATGGTGAGTGCTGGGATGGTGAGTGCGGTGATGGGAAGATGGGTGCTGGGATGGTGAGTGTTGAGATGGTTAGTGCTGGGATGGTTAGTGCTGGGATGGTGAGTGCTGGGATGGTGAGTGATGGGATGGTGAGTGCTGGGATAGTGAGTGATGGGTTGGTTAGTGATGGGACGGTGAGTGCTGGGGTGGTTAGTGTTGGGATGGTGAGTGCTGGGATGGTGAGTGCGGTGATGGGAGGGTGAGTGCTGAGATGGTGAGTGATGGGATGGTTAGTGCTGGGATGGTGAGCGCTGGGAGGGTGAGTGCTGGGATGGTGAGTGATGGGATGGTGAGTGATGGGATGGTGAGTGCTGGGATGGTGAGTGTTGAGATGGTTAGTGCTGGGATGGTTTTTGCTGGGATGGTGAGTGCTGGGATGGTGAGTGATGGGATGGTGAGTGCTGGGATAGTGAGTGATGGGATGGTTAGTGATGGGACGGTGAGTGCTGGGGTGGTTAGTGTTGGGATGGTGAGTGCTGGGATGGTGAGTGCGGTGATGGGAGGGTGAGTGCTGAGATGGTGAGTGATGGGATGGTTAGTACTGGGATGGTGAGTGCTGGGAGGGTGAATGCTGGGATGGTGAGTGATGGGACGGTGAGTGCTGGGATGGTGAGTGATGGGATGGTTAGTGATGGGACAGTGAGTGCTGGGGTGGTTAGTGTTGGGATGGTGAGTGCTGGGATGGTGAGTGCGGTGATGGGAAAGTGAGTGCTGGGATGGTGAGTGTTGAGATGGTTAGTGCTGGGATGGTTAGTGCTGGGATGGTGAGTGCTGGGATGGTGAGTGATGGGATGGTGAGTGCTGGGATAGTGAGTCATGGGTTGGTTAGTGATGGGACGGTGAGTGCTGGGGTGGTTAGTGTTGGGATGGTGAGTGCTGGGATGATGAGTGCGGTGATGGGAGGGTGAGTGCTGAGATGGTGAGTGATGGGATGGTTAGTGCTGGGATGGTGAGTTATGGGAGGGTGAGTACTGGGATGGTGAGTGATGGGATGGTGAGTGATGGGATGGTGAGTGCTGGGATGGTGAGTGATGGGATGGTTAGTGCTGGGATGGTGAGTGCTGGGATGGTGAGTGATGGGATGGTGAGTGTTGGGATGGTGAGTGATGCGATGGTTTGTGATAGGACGATGAGTGCTGGGGTGGTTAGTGTTGGGATGGTGAGTTCTGGGATGGTGAGTACGGTGATGGGAAGGTGAGTGCTGGGATGGTGAGTGTTGAGATGGTTAGTGCTGGGATGGTTTGTGCTGGGATGGTGAGTGCTGGGATGGTGAGTGATGGGATGGTGAGTGCTGGGATAGTGAGTGATGGGATGGTTAGTGATGGGACGGTGAGTGCTGGGGTGGTTAGTGTTGGGATGGTGAGTGCTGGGATGGTGAGTGCAGTGATGGGAGGGTGAGTGCTGAGATGGTGAGTGATGGGATGGTTAGTACTGGGATGGTGAGTGCTGGGAGGGTGAGTGCTGGGATGGTGAGTGATGGGATGGTGAGTGCTGGGATGGTGAGTGATGGGATGGTTAGTGATGGGACAGTGAGTGCTGGGGTGGTTAGTGTTGGGATGGTGAGTGCTGGGATGGTGAGTGCGGTGATGGGAAGGTGAGTGCTGGGATGGTGAGTGTTGAGATGGTTAGTGCTGGGATGGTTAGTGCTGGGATGGTGAGTGCTGGGATGGTGAGTGATGGGATGGTGAGTGCTGGGATAGTGAGTGATGGGTTGGTTAGTGATGGGACGGTGAGTGCTGGGGTGGTTAGTGTTGGGATGGTGAGTGCTGGGATGGTGAGTGCGGTGATGGGAGGGTGAGTGCTGAGATGGTGAGTGATGGGATGGTTAGTGCTGGGATGGTGAGTCCTGGGAGGGTGAGTGCTGGGATGGTGAGTGATGGGATGGTGAGTGATGGGATGGTGAGTGCTGGGATGGTGAGTGATGGGATGGTTAGTGCTGGGATGGTGAGTGCTGGGATGGTGAGTGATGGGATGGTGAGTGTTGGGATGGTGAGTGATGGGATGGTTTGTGATGGGACGGTGAGTGCTGTGGTGGTTAGTGTTGGGATGGTGAGTGCTGGGATGGTGAGTGCGGTGATGGGAAGGTGAGTGCTGGGATGGTGAGTGTTGAGATGGTTAGTGCTGGGATGGTTAGTGCTGGGATGGTGAGTGCTGGGATGGTGAGTGATGGGATGGTGAGTGCTGGGATAGTGAGTGATGGGATGGTTAGTGCTGGGATGGTTAGTGCTGGGATGGTGAGTGCTGGGATGGTGAGTGATGGGATGGTGAGTGCTGGGATAGTGAGTGATGGGATGGTTAGTGATGGGACGGTGAGTGCTGGGGTGGTTAGTGTTGGGATGGTGAGTGCTGGGATGGTGAGTGCGGTGATGGGAGGGTGAGTGCTGAGATGGTGAGTGATGGGATGGTTAGTGCTGGGATGGTGAGTGCTGGGAGGGTGAGTGCTGGGATGGTGAGTGATGGGATGGTTAGTGCTGGGATGGTGAGTGCTGGGATGGTGTGTGATGGGATGGTGAGTGCTGGGATGGTGCGTGATGGGATGGTTAGTGATGGGACGGTGAGTGCTGGGGTGGTTAGTGTTGGGATGGTGAGTGCTGGGATGGTGAGTGCGGTGATGGGAGGGTGAGTGCTGAGATGGTGAGTGATGGGATGGTTAGTGCTGGGATGGTGAGTGCTGGGATGGTGAGTGATGGGATGGTGGGTGCTGGGATGGTGAGTGATGGGATGGTTAGTGATGGGACGGTGAGTGCTGGGGTGGTTAGTGTTGGTAGGGTGAGTGCTGGGATGGTGAGTGCTGTGATGGTGATTGATGGGACGGTGAGAGCTGGGATGGTGAGTGCTGGGATGGTGAGTGCTGGGAGGGTGAGTGCCCGGATGGTGAGTGCTGGGATGGTGAGTTCCCGGATGGAGAGGGAGGGAGGTGCTGTGGTGGGGAGAAGAAGGGCTGGGAAGTGCTGGGATCAGGAGTGCAAGCCTCGAACCCTCTGCGATGACGACCGAGCATATAATCATGCCCCATCTGCAATCTTGGCTATGAACATTTCATCTCTGTATATGTGTGTGTCTAACGGTCTCTCTTGCTTGTCCCCTTTATGCTAAAAATTCCAACGCCCACCACAGGAAAGCCTGTCATCTGTGGAGCTACCCAACAACGTTCGCACACCCGCACAACAGCAGTGGGTTAGAGACGAGGCAGCTGGAGTCCCTGCTGGAGCGGATGACAATCCGCTGAAGTTGTACTCAACGTTCGACATCGACGTAAGTATTTGATGCCATGGCAGCTGGAGTCGCCCAGTAGGCTCATAGACACAGCAACCTCTGGTGTCTATTGGTGTCGTGTGTTTCCCTAACCATCGCATTCCCTGCTGCGCTGTACCACCTGCCCAGTGTGCTTTATGGAAGTGGCAGGTTGGTTCATTGCCGTGGGGAAATCCAATCCTAGCTGTCATGGCGGACATCATGCACCAGGCAGACCTGGGGATGCTGGACCACATCGTGCAATACATCCGCGCCCAACACCCAACGATGATGAAAATTCTGGATTTGTGAGTGCCCCTTGGACCACCCGCCTGGACATGCACAATGCTCTATTCAATAAACCATGGTTACAATGTTGGCATGTCAAGCCCACATTTGTGAGCACATGGTAGTGTGTCAGCTCAACTTTATTCCATCCTGATGTGCCGCCACCCATATCCGAAATCTTTCCATCACACCATACGTAGGCGTCTTCTACGGCTCACCCTGGAAACACGGATCAACTCTTTGCATTTTCCGAAGAGCGAATACTTCAAAACCGGGGCACAAGTCGCAGCTTTTGAACATCGATCGGTCATGCAGGTATGATGCTTTGAGGCCTACACCATGGAGTGGTGGAAGGGGGAGGGTGGGATGAGTGGGGCGAGCTGGGCAGGGACGGAATAGGAAGGGGAGAGAAGATGGGCTGGTGGAGAGGGCACTGCTATGTTGATTCATGCAAATGTAGTGATGTGTCGGTCTGTTGTCAAGCTCGTCTGTAAACTCGCTTCAAGTCATTCATGGGAAGAAGATCCTTCAATCTTTTCTCTAACCTTTCCTACTCACCATGCTGCATGCATCCAGGTGATGATCTTTTTGGTGGCTGACATTGTCGGCTCGCCCCAGCTAGAGGCCATCAGAGCATACCTTGACTGGTATCTCTGCTGCAACGCCGCCTCTCACACCGAGAGAAGTCTTTCCGCACTACAAGCCAAATCAACAAGGTACCTCACCAAACGATACAACCTAAACCATCTAACTCCACTAGCGATTCCATCCCTAACACATTGAACGCTTATCCATATACTCCTTCAATTATTCATGCTCCCACCCATCCCAGGCTGGTGAAACTACTCACGTCTGCCTTCCCCGAGCAGAAATCAAAGTGGAACCTCATCAAAACACACTTGATGACTCATTTCATCCCTGGAATTCGACAAGCTGGGAATGTGCAAGAGTACAGCACCAACCTCTTCGAACACCTGCATAGCACCCTGCTGAAGCAAATCTACAGGAGATCGAATAAGCGGAAAGTGGACACGCAGATCATGAAGCACCACGAGTTGAAGCTTGACTCCATCAGCAACGTGGCCACCGACAAAGGCGTACAAACGGCTATGCAAAAGGTAGGTTCTGTGAGAGGTGAGTGCTGAGATGGTGAGTGCGGTGATGGGAGGGTGGGTGCTGAGATGGTGAGTGCGGTGATGGGAGGGTGAGTGCTGAGATGGTGAGTGCGGTGAGGGTGAGTGCTGAGATGGTGAGTGCGGTGATGGGAGGGTGAGTGAAGAGAAGGTGAGTGCGGTGATGGGAGGGTGAGTGCGGTGATGGGAGGGTGAGTGTTGAGATGGTGAGTGCGGTGATGGGAGGGTGAGTGCTGAGATGGTGAGTGCGGTGATGGGAGGGTGAGTGCTGAGATGGTGAGTGCGGTGATGGGAGGGTGAGTGCTGAGATGGTGAGTGCCGTGAGGGTGAGTGCTGAGATGGTGAGTGCGGTGATGGGAGGGTGAGTGAAGAGAAGGTGAGTGCGGTGATGGGAGGGTGAGTGCGGTGATGGGAGGGTGAGTGCTGAGATGGTGAGTGCGGTGATGGGAGGGTGAGTGCTGAGATGGTGAGTGCGGTGATGGGAGGGTGAGTGAAGAGAAGGTGAGTGCGGTGATGGGAGGGTGAGTGCTGAGATGGTGAGTGCGGTGATGGGAGGGTGAGTGCTGAGATAGTGAGTGCGGTGATGGGAGGGTGAGTGTTGAGATGGTGAGTGCGGTGATGGGAGGGTGAGTGCTGAGATGGTGAGTGCGGTGATGGGAGGGTGAGTGCTGAGATGGTGAGTGCGGTGATGGGAGGGTGAGTGCAGAGAAGGTGAGTGCGGTGATGGGAGGGTGAGTGCAGAGAAGGTGAGTGCGGTGATGGGAGGGTGAGTGCAGAGAAGGTGAGTGCGGTGAGTAGGAGTGCCTGGCAGGACAGATCAGGCTGAGTGGCAAGGGAAGTTTGCAATGAGGTCCTTGGTGGGTAGCAGGGGAAGAGTTAGCTCAAGGCAGGAGAGGGGGCGGTGAAATGAGGAAGTGCAGGGCATGGAGTGGAGCAGGGGAAGGGGGAGAATGGTGTGCTCGTTGCTGCTGGTTGCTGCGATTCAGAGATTTGTGACCAATCTCTGCCTTTTCTGACACGTGTCAGGCCATCGAGGATGGAGCTCGGGTGATGGTGAAGGAGTCCTACTTCTTCCCCGTGAAACCCGATGACGTCACTCCCATTGCCAACTGGTTTGTCCGTGATTGGGCGAAGCTCCACAGCGAGGCACACCATGCCTTTGCGGGTGCATTGCTTCGACGCCATCTGGGGCCAACAAAAGTTCGTGTAAGTGGTGACAATGGTGACATGAAGCAGATACCATATGTAACTCAATGATGTTTGTACTGATTTGTGTCTCTTACTGGTTGCAGGCTCACACAACACTTGCCATCCCTGCTGCAGAAGATTCTAGTTTCGCCCGTGTAGCACATTTCGTGAAAGCAACCCCGCTGTCTCACTCTAGGCCGTGGTTCTCTGATGTTGCCATCGTGGGAACAACGTCGACTGGTGCAGAGACAGAGTGGTACGGAAGGCTCTTGTTGCTGTTCCATACGAAAGAGAGGGGGTGCATGAAGGAGTGGGCATATGTAAAGTACTGGTCAAGCGCAGGTGAGGATGCAAAAACAGGGTGCAAACGTCGTAGGTGGGCAACTGGGGTATCGCGCTACTCAGTGATTGACACAGAAAGCATACTGCGTCAGGTGCACATTATCAAGTCCTACCACAGCGACAATGCATTCTATCTTAACAAGTACCTGCTAAATTAGAAATCAATCATAAGCGCATCTGTACTTTTTTCATATACAACCAAACTGGTTTTGTAATAAGAGGCAAGATTACATGCAATAACAACTTAAGACTTTACAGGTTATATATTTACATGCACATGTGATTGATTAACCAGCAGCCTTTCAATATTATAGTACACAATAATGACTTCATGTAAAAATAGTTTAAAATAAACACTGTTGGCTTATCTTGGTCCATAATTACTCCTATCCGAAACCAATTTTGCAGGGCCCAAACGCGCCCGATGGCCACGTCTGGTCGTGCGCCAAGCAAAGCTGAGGCTCGGTGACCCAGAAATGTTTGCGGGAAACCAACGCACCCCATTCTCGAAACTGCTATTTCAACCTGATCAAAAAAGCACTGTACACCTGACATTGACCAAAATTGGGCCAGTTTCGCTTCGCCGAGGCGCACAATGTCTTGCGAGTCGGTTCAAAGCAGAACGAAATTTGAGAACGACACATTTTGCTGGTGTTTGGGCAAAAAAAGTTGGACAACCCACACAACCCAACTTCCGAAACCAATTCGACCCGTTTCCAAGCGATTCAAAAGCGAGGGGTTTTTGTGATGTTGTTTGCGTAGTATCACTCATTCTTCCGAGCGATCAGCTTGTTTGGGTAGTAGGTGCCATGGATTCTTCCACGCACATCAATGGCTTACCTGATGACGTTCTCATACGAATTTTGTGGAGAATAGAAGATCCTTTTCCCTGCAAAATCGACAGCGACTTTCTAGCATTGTCCGGTTTGAGGCCTAAGCCGAAGCTCATCCCAAGCAGCCCTCAGCTGGACGAGTTTCTCCGTGACGAGCGTGACAGTCACTTTCCGTTCCCTCCTGCCTCTGCAGACGCTACTTACACTCTTCTTATCTCATCGGTCTGCCGTCGATGGCGTCGGCTTGCCACGAATCACGTCGCGACTCTCCGCGTCAAAGCCCACCGCGTTGTCTCTCTTTAAGATCTCACCCGCGTTATCAACCTGCTTCCGAATCTCATGCATCTTCACCTCAGCAACGCCAGCGTGGAAAATCTCGGCGACGCGTTTCTCACGCACCTTGCTTCCGCTTGCCCTAAGCTGACAGCTCTCCACGTGGGATTCAAGATCGTTCCGCACCACCGCCTCGACCAGAAAGATGAGAAACCGCTGACGGAAGCTGGTTTGGATCAATTCTTTCGCAGCTGTGGTCAACTGCAGCACCTCTCTATTGCACACATGGAAACCATCGCGGAAAAGGGAAATTGCGTTTTTGGGGTGTCCGAAGGTTTTTCTGCGTGGGCCTTGTGTGCTTGTTGCGACATGTGTCAAAAAAACAAGGGCCGTAAAACGCAGCATCCCCACCATCAATAACCGCACCCTCGTCCACAACATTACCGCCACTAAACTGTGACTTTGCCGTTACCTGTGCTATTATCCGCACCGCCTCTACGAAGGCGCCTCGAACACATGCGGCTCGGGCCCAGAGCTGCAACAATACTCGGTATTAGCGTGTCACTCAAACCCCGCTGCAGTTTCCGCTACAATCCTATCTACACACTTATTCGGAATACCGTAACCAACATACGCAACCACTGATATGCTTCTGCAAACCGGATACTTCCCATTGTTAACATGTGCCAATCTCATAAATCTGAAAATTCATACTTACAAAGCACAACACACAGAAGTCATACTCTACCGTCTGCACGCAACCACATCTACACACTACGCCCACCCTACAAAACACCCCCTCCCCCCCCCCCCAAAAAAAAAAACATCCCTCCCTAGCGCACTACACGGATGCACTGTCGGACGACCCAGAACTGCGCGCACGCTTCTTCGGTGTGCGGTTTAGGCGGCTGACCACCTCTCCATTAGAGGCGCCAACAACAGGCGCCACTTCTGCTGGGGCAATCCCCAGCGCCTCAGCGTGACACACGTACGCGTGTGTCACGTTGCGGATGGCACGCCGACGGCTTCGTTCGTCTCGCATCAGAGGCCCATCCGGAAGGCACATTTCACCCTCGTCCCCCGAAGACGTTGGCGTAGTGGGCGTCACCAACTTCACTCCTGCCTGCTCCATTAACCACTCATCGCAGGTCACGTAGTCGGACGCCGTCATATGCAACGCTGGCCGCACACGGAACTCACGCAGCAGCACCAGGAGGTCCGCCGTGGTAGAGACTAGCGGCTCGTACATGCCTGCCGAATACATGCCGTGCAGGTGCCACATAAGCGGCCACCATGACTCCGGGACGCATCCCGCCCTCCACCAGCTCCTTTGCATCGTAGCCGCCGTCAGCGCCTTCCAGGCCAAGCCCATCCACAGCAGCATGACCGCGTAATTCACCACGGAAAAGGGTGCATCGAAATCCTCGTGGAAGAGTTTCGATCGCACCGCGCGTCTCATCAGGATAACACGATACTCCGCCTTGAAAGCGTCCACCACGCCGTGCAAAAACGGCATGCTGGACCACGCAACTATGTCTGTGAGGTCAACAAAGCGCGTGTGTGTGAAATGCACCACCGTCAAACCGTGCTCCACCGTCGTCTTCGCGTCATTCGCGGTAATGTGGTGCGCGGTGTTGTAGGTGAACACAACCGTCTTCCGTTCACGGCTTAGCTGCACACCGTCGACCGTCTGAAAGAACTCGCTGAACACCTGCGCAACGCCAAGCCAAGACAACTCATGCGCCGAGTTAAGGTTCCGTACAACAACACCACCAACATGACACCTCTACATTCGCGAAATCTGCGGAACCGTCCACTCCCAAATGAATCCAACATACCTCGGGTGTGAGCCGACCACTCTTAGTGTAGCGCACAATCACCGACGGTGCGGGTTCCTCGCTGCACCTTGTTTCTGGGCGCTCGTCATGGCGCAAAACCACAAGGGGCACCGTGCTGCAGGTTTCCGTCGCATTGTATAGGAAGCCCACACTTATGATCCGGTCGCACGGGGTTGCTGTCCTTCCTGGAATCTTGGTCTTAGGCAAACGGCTCGGCAAAAACGGTATCTCCACAAACAGAAACACATCGTCGGGGTGCACTTTCAACTTCTCGATGATGTCCTTCAAGGGGGGCTTGACCGAGCTCATACTGGCCACCAGCATTCAACGCTGGGTGGGTAGGTGGAGATGAAATGACTAACCTCCCCAAAATATGCCACCTCATTCTGAAACCGTACGCTTCGCCATCAGGTGTGCTACCTAGTATCGGCTCCACACAGCCACAAACACATAATCGCTTTCTGAATGCTCTCTGACCATTGCTTAGCAGGTGCACATGTGCTCAGTTTCCATTGGCCAAAAATTGCATGACCGGATGTCGTTCACGTCACACCGGCCGCACCTGCCAGTCACAAACACTTGAAATCCGAACGTCGAACCAATAGTCCCCGCCACATATCGTATATGATTCCAACACCACCGTGTACCTGCATTACAAAACCAACAAAAACTCGGCAACACGTCAACCCGAATAAAACTCCGTCCTAACAAAATCCCTTACAGCCAATATCATAATCCCAACACCGCCCTCCAAATTAGATGTACGCCAACCATGTCAACGGCGGAACTATCCCACAAAACATTGTGTGACAAGGCAAAGCACGAGACCGTCCGCCTGTTCTGTTCCACACTCTGTATCCGTTACCTCCTACGCCTCCACCCCTCACCGTCAGTACCCCACGTCTCCCCCTTACTGTTATTCCTTCCAAAACCCATCCCATATTTCCACATCAATTCCCCTTCTCCTATTACTCGCAGAGTAGAAACTTGTTCACCGGCAGCACACATGGGTTGCTGTAAGATGGGCATACGTGTACAACCCTCTGTAGGCTGTTCAACAGCACCACTGCGAACCGCACATTCTGTTTAGCTGGATACAACTGGGTACACGTTGTGATGGGACACTGCCCGGCGGCTTCGTAGTACTTGACGTATGCACACCCGATCCACTTGCCCTCCGCGTTCAACGCCTTGAAAATACACACGCATCTAGCGTACCAATCTCCGCCTCCCCGAGCCAAGAGTGCCACATCTGAGAACACCTTCTCTCTCGGAGATGCCTTTACGAACGTCCCCTTCGCCACCAGCACACCCCCCTGTGTTCGTGGTATGGCCACTGCTGTGTGTGTCTGCGAGCGAAGCAATAGACGAACTGTCAGTGAGTGACACACATTCCGCATAACACAGCTGCGATTCTGCACACCATACGCTCACTTACCTGCACGCTGTCACACGCCATCTGCATCTACCTCAGCTGACCTTTTAGGCCCTCCATCTGATCCCCGTGTACTGCTGCGAACTCTGCAAACACACTGTCCCTGCTACATCCGAGGCGCATGATCCTATACTTCTTCGTCAACACAGGCACTAGCTCCTCCACGGCCTGCCACACTCAACCACCCGCAAGGCAGCATGTATTGCATCAGAATGCACAAAATCCGCACACCGAAATCAGGTCGTTCATCGCCCTGCGCTCT